ACAACATCTTTATTTTATGTGGTGCTGAGGATCGAACCCAGCATGTCACGCCCCTCCCGCATGCCAGGCGAACGCTTGAGCCACATCCCTAGCCCAACTTCAGCATTTCTTAACAAAAAATTTTAGTATTCACTGTGGCATAACAGTTAATATCACACTTAAGGTTTCATTTTTATTTAAACAGTTAAATGTTTTTCTGACCCTTCAGAGAAGAATGTTTCTATATTTATTTTCTAATTAGGGCTATCTCACAAAAAATAGTCACTTCTAAAATTTAAGATACTATACCTTTTGATATATTCATGAAAAGAAGGATTCCCAATTAGCTATATTTTGGTTTGGGTAATTTTTTTGTTTTGTTTTGTTTTTTAATTTTCTGTTCCAAAACTATGAGCAGAAGTCTATGAAGAAAGCCCACAACTCAAGGTTTAAACTTCTGGGTTATTTTTACACAAAAATATTTCAGTGCACTCCTCTAGATATGAGTAGTCATTTCCCCGTGCATCCTTCTAAAATAGAAAAGCAAAAATGATACACACATATACCTAATACTAACGCATACAGATGCACATATTTTGACTGTGAAACAAGGTTGAAAGCTTAAGTCAGTAAGAATTTTTCAGAAAGTTCCCAGAGTCAATCAAAACAATCAAAACATGACATCTATTACTCTGTGTGTTATTAACAATCTAAAGAAGAGATGAGGAACTTAAACACTCACTAAAAATCAACTACTATTACATCAATGAAGAAAGGAAGAAAAACAGTAATGGGGACTTATATTTCTTAAGATCTTAAAAAGGAAAAATGGACTTTTTTTTAATTATGGTAAACTGCCTAGGCAGCATTTTTTTAAACAAAGATTCAAAACTATAACAAAGAGATTTTTGGTAACCACAGCAGTATTTAAAAAACAAAAATTCATGAAGTGTCCAGGGTGCACTTTTAATGCATTAATTTCCCAACTGATAGGGAGAAAGTTAGCATTTTAAGATATAAGTTCTGTTTATGTATTAATTGGCTATCTATCCCAACAACTATCTGCATGGCTTCTTAAAATTTACAAAGAACTTTCATATGTCTTACCTAATTTGATCATACTAAGAAAGCAGTATAGTATGCCTACAAAAAAGACAAAACACAAAGCAGGTTCACTACATTTTCTATACATTTCCAAGTTTTTAAAACTTTTATATAAAACTTTACAAGCAACCACAGTAGCATGATTATTGCCCCTGATAATTCACTAACAGAGTTTCAAAGGACCATATGCTGCAAATGCTATGAAACTGTTAAAGTAGTTACTTGGTCTTTATGCAGTTTTTGTTAAGAAGTTTTAACTAAGCCATTGTCAGCAATGATCTATACCCACAAATGTAACTTTACTATAATTCAAGAATCTCAACCTGTGGAGACCAACTTAAATACATCAACCATATGTATTTATAAAGTTGGGTGCCTAAGAAGCTCTCTATCTTAGAATCACTGTCCAAAGATTCAAGAACATACACACACACAATCTAAAATTTTTTCCCACAGATCCTTCTTTCAAAAAATCTCAACTACTCTACATCCTATTTATATTATTATTATAGAAAAGATCACAAGGCTTAAAACCCACATCATACCAATGATTTTTGTTTATTATAAATGCACGTTTTAAAAATGTGTTCAACCCCTCATTCATCATTACAAGAATGTAATGTAATTCATCATTACATTCCCCTTCAAAAAAAAAAAAAAATTCTAACAGCACTCTATACCTAACCCCAGCATTCTTAAGCTATCCACAATAACAAATCTACTCTGCATAGTATCATAAGCAGGTAAAACATGGTTAAAATTTTCAAATAGCAAATGAAATTTACTAATGGCATTTTTTAATGGACTTACTCAAAATCTTTCTGGAACTTTAAGGTGTTAATCCTGTTGCTTAGCTGAAGCTTAAGTAGAGCTGCAGTAAGTATTAAGACCCTCAAAATTCAAAAATTTCCTTTATCTCGTTGTAGCACCTCCTGCTGGATATCATTTAGAGATCTTCAGGTAAGCAGAAGAAGAGTATTTCTGAGACCACTCCTTCCAGATAATTAAATAAGGAAAAAGATGGACCCTTCAAAGCTAAAAGAAATAGTGCCCCATCCATCACTTATACTTAATAAAATATGGCATAGGTAGATATCTTATCACCGGTTCCATAAAGACTTGCCCAAGTCCAAAGTGCAACATCCTTAAAATAAAGTCTTTCAAAACTATCTAAAAACTAAGTTAAAATGCCATCAAAAGCACTGACACCAAAGACTTTATTATGGGTAGCCAAGCAATGCCAGTCCCAGCTGCAAATACTATTATGTTACCAAAAGCAAAAGAAAAGCACTTGGAGTTTTTAACAAGTTGGCCATATGTTTGTGTTTTGAGAATTTTCTGCACTATTGTTATGTTCTTCACTTATAATTATTTATCTACAGACGTCTTAGGTTCAGAATATTTTTTAATAAGTATGAGTTTAAATGCACACAAAAACTTCCCCTTTGCCATCAAAAGATGTTCTGAGATTTCCGAGATTTCCAATGCATTATTCGGACATTTTAAATGGCCCCTAATAACTTGTGTTAAGCCCCCCACCCCAGATTCCATACACAAATGAAGACTGAAGAAGAGAATAAGACACTTACCGAAATTAAAATGAATAATAGTATTTCCAGTAAAAATGTAGTAATCGTTTCCTACAAGCCTGTAAACCAAGTAAATTGTGAAACTTTGAAGAAAGGGGAGTGGGCTAACCTTCAAAAACCAAACAAAAGCTGACCTATTTATTTCCTTTACCTATACATAAAGGAACTCCAAATGTAAACAAATAACATAAACACTGAGAAGTATGTTTAAGCCTCAATTTCAGACCCCTTACTAGGCCTTCAATATAGCTGCAGATGTTGATGTTGATGAATAGTATCCTCTAAAAGGCATATCCCAGCTCCTCACTCTAAAGAACCCCTATAAAGTTGCCTATCAAAAGGTTCCTTCCTAGAGTGCACAACTGCTTTAAAAAAAAAAAAAAAACTTTCATCATCCTAAATTAATCTGATTCTAATATTCAGCTATCAATTATTAATATATAAATTTTCCTAACTTCCCTAGTTCAAATATCTACATTCCTGACACCTACCATTAAGAAAAATGCACAACTAGCACCCCAGCTATGGGGCAAATCACTGAAATCTGAAACATAGCCACAAAGTTCACTGTCAAGGCCAGTGTTGAGGCCCAAACACGCTCGGACCTTAACTCACATTTGAAATTCTAGAAATCCATACTCCCAGAGACATCATTTAAAAACAACACAAATGGACGTGCAGGGTGAGATCCTCTACTTCAAGACCTAAACAAAGAATATTTCAACATATGACCGGAATATGATGACACCGGATTCACCAATGAAAACAAAACCTGCCTACCATTAGCAGTCGTCCCCTCATCTCAACAACTCAACTACTTAGAAATCACTCTCGGCACATCTACACCCCACAACCGGCGTGTGGCCTCCTCCCGGGGTGCAAGCCACAGACAAAGTTGAAAGAAGACATTCTCGCCCGGTGCCCAATCTCGAGATCAACCCCTCCCCTGCCAGGGCCACCTTGCTGCTACCCACCATCGCGAACGTGGTCAGGAGGAAAAAAAAAAAGAAAGAAAGAAAGAAAGAAAAAGAAAAATAAATCCTAGCAGCACCGCTCAGCAGAATAAAGAGCAGAGAGAGGATGACGAGAAGTGTTGGGAACTGCGTGCACGACGGGGCTGGACCAAACGGAAAGAGTCCCACTCCGCGCGCCCCTCCCCCCGGCGGGGGCACGGGGGGGAGGGGCGGCCGCGGCCCCTCTCGGAGCGGCCTGTCCGGCCCGGCCCGCGCGGGGTCCCGGGGCGCCCCACGGCCGCGGGCGCCGGGGGCGACTGCGGGAGGGCCGGCCCCGGGGTGAGGGGTGCAGGCAGACTCTCCGGAATAACAAGTTGCAGAAGAAGAAGAATAAGCGGAATTTCCCCAACGCTGCTCCGGCCACCCAAGACAAATGCACCAACACACACACACACACACACACACACACACACACACACTCGGGCCCGGCGGCGTCAGCAGCCGCAGCTTATTTTTTTTTTTTAACCAGATCCCTCAGTCATCAAACAAGATGGTTTTCCAAAAAAAAAAAATTTTTTTTAATTAAATAAATAACCATAATAAAAACTTCCCCCCGACAGCATCCCGGGGTGGGGGGGGTGGAAGAGCCCACGCGACCCTCCCCGGGCCGAGGGGGAGCCGGAGGGGGCGGCCGAGGCTCCGCGCCCCCCGCCCCCGCCCGCGCCCCCCCCCCCCC